CGAACCAGTGTTCAGTCTACGAGGGAGTGAACACGACTTCCTATAGAATATTTATCCTGACTCTCCTATTGTTCGTTCGATTCGTTCCTGAATTGCTGATCTTTGTTAACTTGTTCGTGAGGCCTCAAGTGGAAGACAAAAGTCTGGTGAGTTACAGATTGTTATGGGTTTTCCATCTTCCACTCTTCGTCTGCTGCTCCAATTTCGTTGAGCAATGGCTCGTCCGGTCGCTCGTGTTGTCCTCCGTCTATCCACTATGGACTTTGACTGTATTCCACAACCGTGTCGAGATATTCTTGCGAGTGTTGGAATAATCGCCCCTCCGATTTGGTCGTCCAACCTATTCTGCCTGCTATGTCTCGCCCGTTGGTCCGATCCAATCGAGCGATGACTCATTCGGTCGCCCACGCCGTCCCCGATCCGTCCTCTTTAAGAGTTTGGATGTGCCTCGCTGCCGCGTTGAGCCATTCTACCGAATGTCGGAATACTCGCACCTCCGATTTGATAATCCACCACAATGTGATAATTGTTTTTAGCAGTTTCAGATGTGTACATGTATAAGGCGTAATGGTACTTGTGCCTTTAGTACCCCCACGTCTGCGATGGCCGTACACTTGTCGTGTTTAGTCCACTCAAACTAAGCGATGACTTACCGACTATACTAACCAAAAGTGGATGATTAGTCGTGTGCAGCTCTTACAGGTCTGGTCCGACTTTGATAGGCTTGTAATCATTATGTTACTCATCATATGCACTCTTCTAATTACATATTTGTTCAGTAAGTACACTGATTTGTCAAACTTTCATAGAGAAGGGAAATTGCACTTCACTTATAGTTCACTTGTATACTTAAATGTAACCAATCCAGTAATACGCCTTATCTGTGCACAGAGTTAAACTTTCCGTCTTCTACGTATTCACATCTTCCGCAAATTATCCACAATTAACTGAATGTGATTAAACCATGAAATACAAATAACAATTATTTTCACAAACTTCATGGAAAAGTTATCGAACAGTCATAGTCGGCAACATTTCAGAAGAAAAAATATCTGATGATCCAGTTTCGTAATTGATTCAAGAATAAAAATGTTGTTAAAGAAGTCGAACTAAACAAGAATTAACAGACGGCAAATGAGGTCGAGCTGCGTACAAACAAATGTTTGTATCGAAATCTAGTGGAATATGCTAAAAACACTTCAGAGAAAGATCCGTATAAAGTGGTCGAATAGGTTTTTGGCTGCAAACTTTTGCTTGCCTTGTGAAGTGATTAGATATAAAACAATTAACAAACTGTTTGCCGAGAACTTTAATAAAACGTCATGAATGTTTTAAGGATGTGACAAAATGTGCAAAGCCCTTCAACATCAAACAAGGGAAAACAGCTGGCAAACAGTACATCCAATGAGGGAACACATAAGCATTAATAAATCGACCGGTCAAGTGATGTAATTTGAAGGAAGATTCTGAACGCTTGAAATAACACAGGATCCACATAACTCTAGTGAAAATACCAGCAGTAAGCAGTTATAATGTGTTGTTATCAATCAAAATAACAGAAAGAAGTGAAAATAGACGTTCGTTGTGTATATAAATGGATAAACATGCAATGAAACATCCTCATATTGATACCCAGATCACAAACACCACAAAATGTTGAAACATTTCGTATTGTCCAGAAACAAATTATGAGGATGTACACAGCGTAATAGTTCGTATGACAAGTGAAGAAAGTCCAGTTGGATAGTTAATGTCTGAGTTCATACCATTTGTGTAGTTGACAACAAAGTGTGACTGTGAACTGGTTGGCAAGAATAAGTATCTATTCCATGAATAAGTCTTGTTAAGCATTACAGCTAAGAGTGTCTCGATAAGATCTGACTGCTAAGTTGCGTAAACCAACTTCCAATCTTAAAGTATTCGCATAAAATGATTAATAGCTGAGAGCTGAATGTCGATTACTTTGAGAACTTGAATTGACGTCTCTCTCCCTATCATATTTCCCAGACGTTTTGTTGCAGAGTAAGAAACATATGTGAAAACTTCCAGAGTTTGCATTAATAGTTGACAGAATGATATGAATAAAATCTATAGTTCAGTGTAAAAAACAAAAACCGGCAAAACTGTTGCCAGCTAAGTAGGGAGGTTTATAATGAAACTATGGATAGGCTGGCTACTGTCGTCACTTAACAGGTTATAATTTTTTCATGGTTTTTAACGAAACACGAATCGGTTGACATGTATGTCGGCTGCGATACTTAGACAAAGCTCATTGGAATTTTTATGAAATTTGTTGAGAAAATCCGTAGTCGCAACACTGTAGAAGAGTATATAAACTAAATAAAAATGACATTTTACTGTGCTAGGTTTTGGGCGATTTCAGGCCGGTATGGAAGCACGCGGGAATTTATAATCCGAGAGATACAAATACGAACACTTTGCTTCAGTCCAAAAGTTTGCTACAAAAAGAGAATCTTACAAAACTGATGCAATGTAGAGAAAAATGTTAGCAATTTGTTTCATTGAAGGCTGATACATCTGTGATTGAACAAACTAGTTCTTGTACAAAAAGACGCAACAAATCAGCTCACGTACAGTTAAGAAGCACACAATAATCAAATATTCTACCAAACTAAGATAAATATATAGAACAGAACGCTGCCAGACATTTGCTGAGAAGGCCCACTCAGTGGATGAAACCACAGAAAAATTGTATCAAGATTCTAGGATATAAATCCTAATCGGTACCCACACTTTTAGACAGAAAAAAATGACATACGCGGAGCTTAACTAGAAGTTAGCTGACGCGGGGTAGATGTAACAAGTGCATGGCATTTGCTCTGCGCTTACATAATCGAGATATTGATACATGTCGACCTGACCTACAGACCAAAACATCGAGTGAATTTTTATGGTAGAACTGCATATTACGATATGCCTTGAATTCCACAAAACTCTCCTTCATGCATTCACGTGGGTCTAAGCTCCATGACCTTCTTTGGTCAATTCTACTTTAAAATCGCCAATGCCTCATTGATCCACTGCCAAACAGTTCAAGCAATTGCCATAGGTAACAACACCACGGACAATGTCGATCACCAGGACCACTTATCGGAGAAAGTATTGTCTTATTGTTTCGTTCATAACCCAATGAGTATACTAGTCTAGCTTCCGACTTAGTAGTCCCGTTCTAACTGAGATCCACACTGTCATCTCAGTGATATGTAAGCTATCTCCCCACTCGGCAAGCAAGATCAGTGTGCTGAATTTTCCCTTAAAAATTAGTTAAGTTATCAACCGGTGTTCTATGTAAACACCGTGTATGTGCTCTAGCAGTGAGATGGATCCATAAGAATCATGGCTCACATAAACGGTTTGCATGATCGGTTCACACGACCTTGCCCGCCTGACTGCTCGGTGCAAGAGAAAATATCAAATTCTGACCACTTTCACCCAATAATAAATATGGTTTTATAGCACAAAATTGACATGCAGGAATTTCACTAAATTTCGGCAGCTTGAGATGAAGCTGGGCAGACCTATGGTTTGTGAATAGGTTTTTTCAAGTATTCATTCTGAAATCAAAAGTAATCCGAGTGGATTGCTTTACGATTTAACAGCAGCCCTCGGGGTTCTAGAAATCCAAAAATTCGCCTAGGTGACTGTGGCCACTTAACATTCGCATGTAGATTAATCAAATCTCGCACGAACCCGCGATATCTGTCAGATCTCTGTCTGACCTGAAAGACAAACAGAGTAACCAGTTTGAAGTTACTCTGATAGTGATAGTTTTCAATGTAGAGTAAGCAAAAAAAGACAAACTCCTGTAGCGACTTGTCACGGTCGGTCACAGCATGGTCACTTTTAGTTGGTGAGTAATGTTAAGTATCAAGCTAAACGTCACTCGTAGTTGATTGCATCTATCGAATTCAGATTGATTTTCCAGTCCTTAATTTAGATTAGGCCTAACTGTGAAAAGTCAAGGATTCGACTGGATTCGAACCAGCGACAGAAACACCATTCCTCAACGCCCTACCAGCTGAGCTACGAAGCCACGCCAGGAGCTCGGAAATTTTACATTTGGACCCGACTACACACCCGTCCCACTGTTTCATGTGGAATCCACAAGATCTTGCCAATAATTCCTTGTAGCCAATAGCATTGACGGTTAGATCAAGATACACCACCCCAAATCTTTCCAAGTCATTAATAAAATGAACCTTGACCACTTTGGGAATCGTCCAAGTGATCGTTGGATCTCTCACCTTTCGCATACACTTTTAGTTTAATTTCTGTAATGAATTCATGCTCAATCGTTTTGAGACACCGACTCTACGGATCTGAGTCGGATGAAATACCAACTGAATGAACGAATAGTATTCAGTTAGATCATTAACTTACATTTTCTGTGACAAAATCATATCAGAACCCAGTATAGCCGGCCGAAAAACGGTAGGAAAAAACTGAGGGTTGAGTAACTCACTGCAAGTGCAAACGGAACTGAAATATCTCCTCTACTAAAATTCACGGCCAAACTAAGAGCACTGATGAAGGACGGGAAGTTTCGACCAGCAAGATTTAACCCCCGTCCTGGTCTCCAATTAGACTGATATGACCGGTCCACAGTGCTCACAAGCTGACTCATACACACTCGGTCGCACGTTCCAACGCCTACACAACCTACATCCAGTGTGGTACTCATGGTTCTCGATGTGATTAAAATTAGTATCATACACATGATTGCTAAATGCAAGCGTGCGATAAGTAGTGGAAGTTGTGCAGGATATGAACCAAAGGTTAACAAAGTGATCATAAGTTAGTGGAGAACGCTCTCCGAGAGAAGCATGGCAAGTCCAAATAACCACCTGTTCTCCAAACCCGAATTCGTTCATTATTTTCACACAAAGCGGGACAGGAGTCGTTTGCCAAGGGGAACTGATCTCACATAGGGTCATGCTGTCTGCAACCTTTGGTCGCCCAACGGATTCATACTGTTGCGAATAGTAGGGGATTTTGGATTTACATAAACTGAACATCACTCACGAGCTCTCACAAGATCAAAGCTAGAATACAGTGTCTGTTTCTGAAAGAAGCACCTATGGGAGTGCGACAGCTGTGATCAATTGTGACTGATGTTCAATTTATGTTATCCCTACTCTAATGTACATCTTCTTCAGAAAGGGTATATGTATAACCGAATCTGTATGCT